CCTCCCCCCATCCCCATTTTGTTTTTTTTTTTCTTGAAACACGAAACTTAATTGAAAAAAATAAAACAACAAACAAACAACGATAAAATTAACCGTTGTTGATATTTAACGTGGGAGAAAGGGAGGAGGAGGGAGAGAGGGAGGGAGGGAAAAAATTAGATAATTTAATGTGCTTAATTTTTATCAGGGAGGAGAAGGGGGGAGGGGGGAGGAGGAACAAGGCGGTGAGAAATAATAGTAGAAAAAGGAAAAAAAAAAAAAAACATTTCGGATAACTCAATCATCCCTTAGTCATTAATCACTCAGACTTTAAATTGGTTTTTCTCTCTCTTTCCCACCCCTCCCCCGACGAAAAAAAAGGTTTTTTTATTCGAACCCAAATTTCGGAGTTAATAGGAAAAAAATAAAAAAGGAAAGAGAAAATTAGTAGTAGTTAGTACGAGGGAGAGAGAGGGAGGAGGGGAAAGTGGGGGTGGAAAACAATGAGGGAAAATAATTGCAAAGGTTTTTTTTGTTCTACTGCTCCGTTGTTGCATTGATTTGCAATCGACCAAAAAGGTTAACTGCCTACCGCCGCCACCGCCACCGCCACCACCACTACCATCAACCCCCCCCCGAACGACCGACCACCACATCATTCAACCACCTCGTATAAGTAATTACGTGGCGTGTAATTGAAGGTGGAGAAGAAATTAGAATTGTTTGTGACGTAGATTTATTTTAGCGGTTTTTTTTTTTTTTTTGTTTTAAATTTGGAAAATTGGTTTCCGTTGTGCGAACCAAAATTTGAACGGGCGGATTGAAAAAATAGACAGAGAAAGAGAGAGAGAGAGATAAAGAGAGAAACACTGAGAGGATTTTAAAGGGTGAGAAAGAGAAAGAGACACTAGGAAGACTTTATGTAGACTTCAAAGAGTGAGAGAGAAAGAGAGACAGAGAGACAAAAACACTAAGAGGACTTTAAAGTGAGAGAGACAAAGAGAGAGAGAGAGAGAGAGAAAGAGAGAGATAGAAAATAATAAAGAAAAAAAAAGTGTGCGAGTGTGGTTTAGGAGAAAAACAAAAAAAAAAAATCAAACGGAAATGAGTTCGAAATGAATTTGTGAAAAAAGAAAAGTACAAAACCGGAAACAAAAAAAAACTACAGAACCGGAAATGACGTTTTTTTCCCTCTCTTTTTTTTTTTTTTTTAAAACACTGAAAAATAAAAAATTATAATTAAGAGATTATTGTCAAGTTTGTTTTCTACGACAATAGGTTCAAAAAAACGACCACTTGAAACTTTTTCCTTTTAAAAAAAAAACCTGGAAAATTCTACTAGAATGTTCTAGAAAAGTTAAAGTGGATATTATTATACATATATATATATATGTTTTTAAAAAAAAAAAAATTTTTTTTTTTAAACATATCAGAAGCAACTTTGAAGATCACTTATAAAAAAAAAAAAAAATTCGTTAATTACGTTTCGAGTGAATTTTTCTTTTTCACTCATTCAATTCGTTAATTAAAAAAAAAAAAAAAAAAAATTAAAAAATACGGGAAAAACCGGAAACGGAAGTTCTTCGAGTTTACTTTCATACACTTTAACGTTTCATCAATACTACCAACCCACCCACCGTAAAAAAAAAAAAAAAAAACAAAACAAAACATCGTCGTCGTCGTCACCGTTACCCTCCATTCGTATCGTTTTTATAATAATTATACAGTGTTGCCAACATGAAAAATTTACGATTAAAAAAAAATGAATGCGAGATAATAAATAAATAAAATTTTAATGATTATTATTATTATTATTATTATTATTATTTTAATCGCATAAAAACATTCGTAAGAGAGAAAAAAAAAATGGAAATTTAAAAAATCAATTTATGACTCAATAAAAAAAAAATAATTTTTTTTTTTTAACGTTTAGCATTTAATCCCAGTTTCCGTGAGATATTTTATAGTTTGTGTGCGACGTTGCAAAAAAAAAAAAAAAATGTTCTAGAACGTCATCGAAATTACAAACGAACAAAAAAAAATTTAATTTAATTCGTGTCATTTCCTACCGAAAATAATAATAATAATAATAATAATAATAAAGATTTTTAGTCTGCTATATAAAAATTTAAACTTTATTACTCGAAATTTAATTTTTCTTATCATCGTACCTAACTAAACCTTCTCCGATTTCTTATCACTTCCGATAGCCTCCACCCCACCCCCCGCCGAGAAAAACTATCATTATCGACAACGATTTTGTCCACCTATTAAACCTAAACAAACGGGAAAAGTTATCGAGAAATGCACCCTGAGGGGAGAAAAGGAAATAGAGAATTGTGTGGTAGGGGCGGATTAGAAAGAGAGGGGGAGATAGAATCGGGAAGGGAGGGGAGGGGTGGAAAAGGTACCTCCTAGGGTAATAATTATTATCATCATTTTTTTTTTGATTAACATCCCTCTAAAAATTGGTTTTGAAAAAAATGTTTTCCCTCCTCGTTTCTTTTAAAATCCCCCCAAAAAATTATCATCATTATCATCGCTATCATTATCATTATTATCATTGTCGTCGTCGGTATTTTTTTCATTTACTTTTCATGTCATTTTAATAAATAAAAAATAAATACTTGTAAAAAAAAAAAAATCGAACTTTGACCTTTTAATTCTATGTATCGACGAAATACGAACCCACGTGACGATTTAAAAAAAAAAAAACGAAAAAAATGATAATAATGATGATTATGATGATGACGATGATTGTGGACATTGTAAAAAAAAAAGCAGAAGAAAAAGAAAATAGAACGGGGTGGGGAAAGTGGGGAGGGGGTGGGAAAACGTCATTTTCAACGTACGTCGTGACGTTTTTAAAATGATTTTTCTCCAAAAAATTTTCCGAAAGGAAAAAAAAAATTGAAAATCGAAACAACAAAAAACGGAAAAAAAGAGAAAGAGAAAAAGAAAAGAAAAGAAAAAAAAAATAAACGTAAAAAAAAAAACCGGAAATGAAGGGAAATTTTACGACAAAATCAAGAAAATCCTTTTTCCGTTTGATTTCGTACGGTTTTTCCTTTTTTTTTTCGGGTGGGGAGGAGGGGGACGTATTTTCATTGTTTTCAACATTTTTCAGTCTGCCACGTATAGAGAAAATTTAAAAAAAAATAAAAAAAAAAATAGATAAGACGAGAAAAAGAAGAGAGAGAGAGAGAGAAAAATAGACAGAAATGAAAAAATTACGGACTATACGATAGGATACGAGACAGAGTGAGAGGGGAGGAAAAGACAGGGAAATAGTTAGGATAACGAGGGATTTTTTTTCCCTTTTTTTTTTTTTTTTTTTTTAACTCGAACAAAATGTCAACAAAATAACAGACGTTCGAGTTTAATTTTCATTAAATAAAATCCGAGACTAAGAAAAAAATTCATTTATTTCATTTCGTGTAATAGCTTTTTTTTTAAAATATTTATAAAAAAAAAAACTCTTTCCGGTTGACATGACTTCCTTTCTTTCTTTCCATTCGATTCTCTTTTCAACCATAGAGTAAATAAAAAAAAAAAAAACCATAGAGAAAATATTAAAAAACAATTTCACAATACGGATTCATTCATTTCGAAATTAGATGATAATATTAATAAAATAAACCTCCCCCTCCCCCCTCCTCCTCCCGCCGATGAAAAAAAGAACGAACGAATATTTCGAAATTAAAAAAAAAAAAAAAGCGGAAACGGAAACGGAAAATGGCGTTTTAAATAATTTTATATTTACCCTCGATAATTTTTTTCGAAATGAAAAGTGAATTTTTTTAATGATTAATCGAAAATTTTTATTTATATATTTATAGAAAAAATAAAATTTAATTTTCGAAAAAAAATTATTATTATTATTAATTTCGATTAAACGACGAATAAACGGCGTTACCAACTTTATAAAAAAAAAAAAAAAATTTTTTTTTCTTTTTTTTTCTTTCTACCCTTTAAAAATTCATACACCTGTTGCATCAAGACTAAAGATTCATCTTCTTGTCGTCATCATCCTCTCCTCTCTCTCCTCCCCTTCCTTCCCCTTTCACCTCCCCTTCCTTCTCCTCTCTCTTCCCTCCCCTCCATTCCCCTTCAACCGTTTCCGTTTTGTTTTTCCTTTTTTCCTTTTTCCTTTCTTTTCTTTCTTTTCTTTCATTTATTTATTAATTTAAAAAAATTTTCAACCGTTTTTTGTTCTTGTTGTTGTTGTTGTTTTCGATATTATAATCTTTTTATTAATCTACTGCCACTTACACACACTCTCTCTCTCTCTCTCATTCTATTACGATTATAATACCTGAATATGAATTTTACACGCGTAACGCACGCAAATACGCACGAACGCACCTTTGACAAAACAGTAACGACAACAATCCCATTAATATAATAAAAAGAAATTTGACAAAAAAAAAATCATCGTTATTAATATTATTATTATTATTATTATTATTATTATTATTGATTATAATAATTTTCCGACATATTTTATTATTATTATTATTATATTTTATTAACCACTATTATTATTATTATTATTTACAATTTGTCTTTTTTTTCGAAATTGTCTATTCGGTCATTTTTTAAATCCACTCGCGTACGCGCGCGTAAACGAACCCCGCACACGCGTTTGTTATCTCGATTCGACAAAAAGAATAAAAGAAAAGGAAAGAGAAAGAGAGAGAGAGAGGTGGAGGGTGGGGGAGTCAAAGAAACGAGAAAAAAAAAGAGAAAGAGAGAGAAAAAGAAAATTTTTAGATGGGACGATAAATAAGTAAATAATAAAAGGGAAATTACGTATAAAAAAAAAAAAGGAAAAAAAGAAAAAAGGTTTTAAAAAAAGGAAGAAGTGGTGGGAGGGGAGGGGAAGGGGGAGGAGGGAGGAGGGAAGGGGAATATCGACAAGGTTAAAAGTTAGTTGATTTAAAGTTAATTAGAAATTTTTTTAAAAACAAGAACGCGTTCATCATTCACAAATCAATTATTTCCATTTTTTTTTTTTTTTTTCAATGTTGTTTCCAACTGTTGGCTGCATGAAATCAAAAAAACAAACAAACAAACATTTTCCATCATCGTTTATCAACAAATAAATATTAATGATGATGATAATGATAATGATAATGATAATGATAATGATATGATAATAATAATAAATTTACTAACCTTTATAATAAACTTCTCTATACATGCTCGGACAATATTTCGTGTTCGAATTCTGAAAAAGAAAAAGGAAAAATTATTATTATTTTTCATTTCGTTTTCATCTTCTTTCATCCTCCTCACACCTTCTCCTTCTCCTTCCCCCCACCACCGATAGAATTTTTTCTAGAATTTTCCAAAAGTTCACCGTCCTGTCTCTCTCCCGCGCACGTGAAAAATAATGTATAAAAAAAATTTTTTTTTTTTTTTTTCTCCGACCCCTTCCCTCCCCACTCAACATCGAGAAAATCGTCGACAGATTTCCCTCCCCCCACCCTTTTTCCCTTTTTCGACAAAATCAAATAATGTCGCCTTTACCGTATTTTATTTAGTTTTAGTTTTTTTGTCAGGAGGATTTCTATAGAAATTTGACGAACGAATAGGGGAGGAGGGTAAATTGTCAATAAGAAGAAAATCATCGTGATTTTGTCAGGTTTTCTTCTCCTCCCCCCTTCCTCTCTCCCTCCCTCCTTTCATCCTTCTAGAACATTCCGACCTAATATTACGTCATAATCTTTTTCCGGTACGTAATTTAAAAAAAAAAAAGATTCGATCGTGATTAATTATTAGAAATGTGAAGAGAAGAGAAAAAGAAAATTTTTTTTATTTATTATTCGGTAAACAACGTACCGGAAATGATTCGAGTAAAAAAAAAAAAAAAAATTTCCACGTGATTGCCAAACTTCCGATTGAGAGAGAGAGAGAGAGAAAAAACTTTTTCCTTTTCTTTTCTTTCTCCCCTCCTCTTTCCCCCCTCACGATTTCTGTCGACGAAATGAAACGTATCAAATTTTTATTTTTATTTCAATCATGAATTGATAGTTTGTCATTTTCTTTTAAAAAAAAAAAAAACGTTTCCGCCGACGGGAGCAACAGCTTTAAAAAAAAAAGCGCGCGAATTTCAAAATCGATTTATCGTTCATAGTGGATGATGGGGGGTGGAGTGGAGAGGAGTGGAATAGGGGAGAAACGAAATAAAAATTAGAGCAGAAGAAAATTTAAAAAAAAAAAAAAAAAAACTAAAAATAATAATGTGACGTTACGTTAATAATAATAATAATAATAATAATAATAATGACGGCAGTTGAGGAGCGGGGAGAAGGTGAGGAAAGGAAGGGGTAGAAAAGGGGAGGGAGTAAATTTATAATTTTCAATTTTTTCTCTTTTGTTTGTGGGTGTTTGCTGCTCTTCCCGCGTTTGCACCCCCCCCCTTCACCACACTCCGGGTGCGTGCGTTATTACCCAAACGATGGGTAAGCGAAACAATTTCCGGATAATATAAAAAACAAAACGAAAACAAACCGGAAACTATTCGCGTTTGAATAATGCATTATTACAATAAAAGATGGCGGCGGTGAGGAGGAGAAGGAGGAAGAGGAGGAAGAGGAGGGGGAGGGTTAAAAAATTAATAACGACTCACCTGTTTGCTATTGTTGAAATCGATATTTGTCCTTATGGGTCGATGGTGAAGGGGTTGCGGAGGACGAAAATTATTTCCCAGAGGTGCTTTCGGATGATTTGCATCACCTTGCATTAACCTTCTTAGACCGTGTAACTAGAAACACAAAAAAAAAAAAAAATTATCTGTTTGTTTGTTTGTACAATGTTAAACGAATTCATTTCGACGACGACGACAGGACGCGATCATTCACAAAAAAACATTTTTTTTCCCCTTCCTTCCCTCCTCCTCCTTCTTTCTTTTTCGCATACGTTTCACTTTAATAAATGCCATCATCATTATTATTATTATTATTATTATTATTATTATTATTACGGATACTTGTCATATGTTCGCTAATAAATGAATTGCTCCCGTAGGAAAATTCAAACGAGTTCTCTCTTTCTCAACTTTGTATAACTTTTGTTTTTCGAGTAATACTCGAAGAGCGAGAGAGAGAGAGAGAGAGAGAGAGAGAGAGAGAGAGAGAGAGAGAGCGAGAAAAAAAAAAGGAACCCGGAAACGGAAATACCCGCGGGATAAACTCACACCGTAATTTACAACTGTCATTTTAAATTTTAATTCAACAAAACTTGATAAAAAAAAAAAAAAAAAAGAACAAGTTCGCAAGTCGTAGAAATGTTAACTCGTACGAGAGAGAGAGAGAGAGAGAGAGAGAGAGAGAGAGAAAGACAATAAAAATTTTCTATGGGCTTGATTTTAATGCTTTTTACTCATATCGTGGCAGTAGATATAAAAAATTTTCCCGAAATGAAATAGGACACGTATTCACGCACCACACGCACGATACGTAATCGTTAAGAGTTTAAAACTTCAATAATTAAGAAAATTAACGATTAAATTTTTTTTTTTTTTTAATAACATAAAATCAGTACCGAATCCAATTTATTCGATTTTTTTTTTTTTTTTATTCCCACGTTAAAATTAAAACGAAACGAAAGCAGAAGACAGAAGAATAACAACAACAAAAAAATTATAAAAAAAAAAAACAATAAATTACACAAACGTAAACTTCCTGCCGGTTTTAAAAAAAATTAATTTTTTCTCCTTCTTCTCGTTCTTTCAACTGAAACTCTTCGAGACGACATTTTGAATTTTTTTTTCCCTGCCATGCAGGGAATTTTTTTTGTTTTGTTTTTTTTCGAGGGAAAAAATTTCGTGATCATCAACATTTTTTCTTTTTTTTTCTTTACTCATTCTCCCGTTTCCGTTTCGGTTTTTTTTTCTTTTTCTTTCTTTCTCGAGTTTATTATTATTATTATTATTATCATTATTATTATTTTTAACGAACTCGCGCGTCATCATTGTAAAACTCTCCCGAAATAATTTAAAGAAAAACAAAATGTAAATAAAAATAAATCAAAATTTTCCTCTTTTTTTTTCTTTTCTTTAAATTATTACGAAATCGCGTAAAATTATTATCATCATCATCATCGACGTGATAATAATGATAATAATAATAATAATAATAATAATAATAATAATAATAATAATAATAATAATGATGATGATGATGATGATGATGATGATAAAAAAAAAACAAGAAAATTATTTAATTTTACAAAATAATGATATAACGTTAAACCCCCTTTTTTTTTTTCATTCTTTCTTTTGTCTAGACGACCATTTTGTTTTTTTTTTTTTTTTTTTTAATAAGGCATTATTAAAGTTATTACAAAAGTTATTACAAGGTGGTTGTTACTATTATTATTATTATCATCATCATTATTATTATCATTACAGTCTATCCAACTTCGTTTTTTTTTTTTTTTTTTCGTTAGGAATAAAATTAAAAAAAAAAAAAAAAAAAAAAATATTGGTGGTGATGGGATAATAATAAAAAAAAAAATAATAATAATAATAAAATAATAATACCCGACGGACCCCCCCGACTCTCGTAAGTACGATTCAAACAAACAAACAAACAAACAAACAAACAAACAAATTTTTTTTTTTTTAATTTTAACGGGAAACAGAATCCACAACATTAAAAAACTAAAAAAAAAGTTTCAAAATTTAATTTTTGT